AGCAGCTCCTGTTGCCCGTGTGTCTGCAGCTTCAGCCGCCGTCTCTCATCTTCTCTCCTCTCACAGTCCCTCCTCCTCCTCACTTGCCCGCTGTGATTACCTCTAGCTTTGCTTCTTATTGTGAACTCCTGCTATACCTGCTCATCGTGCTGATTACACCCCACTTTGGCTATGGGGGTGTGTCAGAATGTTGTATTTGTCTAGCCTGCAGTGGGGTACTCTATAGCGAGTACAGCCCAATCTAGGGTTACCTATATGTACTCAACTGCTTGCTAGTGAACCCCCTCCTTTCTTCATTCTTACTTTCTACTGCTAATTCTGACATTTGGCTATGGGGGTGTGTCAGAATATGTTGTATTTGTCTAGCCTGCAGTGGGGTACTCAATAGTGAGTACAGCCCAATCTAGGGTTTCCTATATGTACTCAACTGCTTGCTAGTGGAAATCCTCTCTTTCTCATTTCAAACTTGCAACGGTTTCTTAACAGGTGCCATATGGCAGCACCTGGAACATTTGAGGACTAAAGGAACATTCGAATGTGTGAAATTCGGTTGCCGAATTTCACCACATTGAAATGTTACCCACGGAACATTCGCGACACTTCATGTAGCAACTCGATGTTACTTGTGCGATTCGACGAGTTGAGTAGCTATAAATGTGTGCGCTTTGTATGCATGTTTCATACTGAAATCGAAAATCACTTCGTATGTGATACATTCGACTACAAAATCCAGAGAGCTCCTCTCCTAGATTCCAAGAGCACTACCTAGCACATAAACGCATATATCTCACTCGAAACTTAGGCGATCTAGGTGATTTACGGCTCGTTGGAAAGCTAATAGGGTGCTATACTGTTTAGTTCAAATGTCAGTTCCTGCCAACTAGAGGAGAGTCCTTTGCAACAAACTTTGACAATGTCGTCGATGGGTGGAACTTGTTTTTTTGCTTCTTCTACAATGTCAACGCTGGTGACAGGCATATCTGTGATGTGTCAGAGGTCCTCTGGTGATCCCCGATTGATCCTAAGAAAGGGTTACATATACGTTGGCCTGGGGGGTTATGGGCGCACTCACCCGCTACACAAACAAGCCATTTTTTCCTAGTGGTAAGTGGCTGGGATTCTGACATGGTATTAGAGCGAAGGTCTCAGGTTCGAATCCCAGTGTGTGAACTTCGGGCATCCCAGTGCGGGGGGGTGTCAGAGGTCCACTGGTGATCCCCGATTGATCCTAGGAAAGGGTTACAGACACGTTGGCCTGGGGGGTTATGGTCGCACTCACCCGCTATACAAACAAGCCCTTTTATCCCAGTGGTTAGTGGCTGGGATTCAGACACGATTCAATGTCATCGATGCTTATGAAGATGATATGCGGAACCAGTGATTCAGCTTGTTCCGTATTATCAGCACAAGTGCCGACTGCGTTACTTGTGGACGATGTAAGGGCGCGACAAATTTCATCGAGCCCTGGAGCGTACTGACCACTCTCTCTTGGATGGAAATTTTTTTTTTTTAACTCCCATGTGTATGACCGGACACTAAGTCTATCACGTTGTATGTGTCGCCGCCACAGTCACGGATGTCTAAGTCTATGGCATACACAATGTTTTGCGGTTGGCGTGTTCCATGGAGTGCGAAGTTGAAGCTTAATTTGGTTTGCAAATGTGGGAGGTCCAGAGCTCTATGCAGCGTGTTGCACAAGGCGGTACGAAGTTCAATGTTGCAAGTTTAGTACATTCTAAAATTCATTTTATGTTGTTTTGTTTCGCTTTCCATGCATTTGGATGTTCTGTTTGTACTTGTATGCTTTTCATTTGTAGCCCCATAAATAGCACGCATGCTGCCCCAAACACCCGTTCGCCAGGGACAAATGCGTTGCAGTCGGCATAAAGTCGATGTGACGGCGTGCGGGAAACACTTTACAACACGGGTTCGAGAAGGTTCTTTTTTCACTTGATTGGCCAGGCGCCAGATTGCTATATTTACAGGCCCAGCTACTGGCAGGATTGTTGACTGCGAGACGACAATGTGGACGAAAGTTTTTTAGAACGAAACACTTTGCTATCATTCGCCAAGTGTAATAACATGTTCCTTTTCCGCATTTGTGTATCTGTTTATGCCAGAGAGGGTATTGTTCAGTACAAAATTGTTGTTCAAAGGGGCTATGAAGCTGGAAGATTGACTTCCCTCGTAAATATACGTAAGATCGTTAACGGCAGAAGCTGACTACGTATCAGATCCTAAGTTACAGCGGATCTTTGATCGAGTTTCCATCTGTGGCGCCCGTACGCATCGAATCAGAGAAACTTCGGTGTTGCGTGTCATCAGATCTCCGCTTCGTCAGCGAGCACCACTTGACAGGGCCGCACTTCTCGACTTATTCATGAACTGCCACCAAGTTCCGGAGATACTTTTCAAACGGTGAGCACGCGCGACTTACAATTTTGCTGTTGATTCATTTGTGTCCTGGTTGGGTGGAAGATAGTTCCAGCATTCGAGCCCACCTGAGAGATGCACAAGGACCCAGCTTGTCCTAGATTCACACAATTCCGCTCATCCCAATCAAGCTCAATGTTTTTTCTGGGATGCGCACCCACGCAGTGGTGGAGGAATGCGAGATATATTGCCTAACATATAAGTGGTTGTGTATCCAAACATCGAAATGCATCATGTGGTTGTGGAGTTGAACTCCTAGTACAGATTTTTGCAGCCCCCACAGAATGATGGGCTCGACGATTTTTTATCGCACCGTGTAAAGGCTGAGGTAAAAAATCGTGATGCCATCGAAATTTGCCTCCATTGGCTTTGCTGCAGGTGAACTGTCACCACCAACCCTCCATCCCCCCCCCCCCTTCAGCCCTCAGCCACCACCCCCAGCATCAGAGGATTTAGTTCTCAGGGTTCGAGCCAGTCCATAACAGCCAGGAAAGGTGAGAGTCTTCAACGAAGCTCGTGCGGGCAAGCTGCTACCCCCAGTGCCCCACCCAGCACAGAAACAAGCCATCCAGAATGGCATGATGACGTTCGCACAGTTGGCAGGCACGCTCTCAGCCAGTGACACACAGTCCTAGCTGGAATGTACTGCCAGCCAGCCATCCTCAACCCTGCCATGACACTTCCATCAGGAGAGAATTGCTCCAGTGCCTTGTTTGGTGATTCGCTCTTGCCCACGTGTCCCCGAATTGCTCGAGTGGCCATCCAATTCCGTGATAATTGCTCGAGTGGCCATGCCAGGGCATTTTCGAGGTGTTTTTTTTCCCTAGCACATAACCCTACAAGGATTCGTACCCCCGAAATTCCTCGTTCGCACAACAGTAGATGCGCGGTCATTTTCGGCCCAATGCGCGACCAATGAGCGCGCGGGCAATTACATCAGCGATCATAAACTGCAACGCCAGAGCATAAATGCACGAACATATTATTGACCGCGCACGATTGGTCGATAATATGCTTCTTGCCCTTTTTGGCAATGCGCGTCCAATCACGCACGGTCATATAATTCACGACCATATATTTAGGCGATAAAGGGTCGCCCAACAACCAATATGAGCGCGCATATACCACCATTAGTTCTATTATATTTTCGGTCCATATAAAACCATGTATATCAAATGCCATAAATATATTCTCTGCTATTAATTTAAGCCCATCATAACCGTGGTGGCAGCATACTATGCTGGGCTTAAATTAATATTATGCTGCCGAACATATTATTTCTGCAACCATATTACCGGCAATACAATATTATGGACCACGGTATGATGGGCTTAATATTATGATAGGCCACGATACAATATTATTTCTAGTACGAAGGGCTTAAATTAATAGCAGAGAATATATGTATGGCATTTGATATGCATGGTTTTATATGGACCGGACATATGATAGAACTAATGGTAGTATATGCGCGCTCATATTGGTTGTTGGGTGAAGCTTTATCGCCTAAATATATGGTCGTGAATTATATGACCGTGCATTGATTGGATGCGCATTGCCAAAAAGGGCAAGAAACATATTATCGACCAATCGTGCGTGGTCAATAATATGTTCGTGCATTTATGCTCTGGCGTTGCAGTTTATGATCGCTGATGTAATTGCCCGCGCGCTCATTGGTCGCGCATTGGGCCGAAAATGACCGCGCATCTACTGTTGTGCGAACGAGGAATTTCGTGGGTACGAACCCTTGTAGGGTTATGTGCCAGAGAAAAAAAACACATCAAAAATGCCCTGGCATGGCCACTCGAGCAATTATCACTGAATTGGATGGCCACTCGAGCAATTCGGGGACACGTGGGCAAGAGCGAATCACCAAACAATGCACTGGAGCAATTCTCTCCTTCCATCAGCCTTCGGGAGAAAGGGGAAGTACCAAACTGTACGTTTCTGCCACTACCTCATTCATTCACAAAGCCGAAATTCCATACCAGCTTGCCTCGATGCACTCCAAGCCAAACCGCCATGGTCCTTTCTGAACCCAGAGAGAAACGCTTCATCAAATCCCTCTCACGGGAATTAACTATGGACCGACATAACTGAACCGTCGATCACTCGCTCATGCGCGTCGCTTCACTCTCTCACTCTCCCCTTCTCTCCCCCAGACTCATCCACACACGCGCGCGCACCATATTGCTCCGTACAGTACAAGCCGCAATGCCAGGCACGGTACAGGAGGAGTTCCACGGACTGATCCTCAGTCCTCATAACCGTGCACGAGAACTAGCATTCTTTAGTGCTGTGTGAAATCCCACCACCATTTCACGAAAACCACTGCTTCGCGCGTCGTCCATTTGAGTGGCCTTCTGCATCCACCAGCCACACCATCTTCGCAGCTCGAGCCCGTCCTCCTCACATGCTCGAGTGCGGTCTAACTCGCCGACGTGCGCCTTGACACAGAGAGCTAACTAGCTCACGACCCCCTTCACTCGTCCGAATCTTGCGGCCACACTCAGCAGGCGGGTTCTAGTCCCCCCTAGCATCTCCCAGAGAACCGTCGATTCCATCATATGTCACCCATGGCCGTCCTTCGTCTGCCGACGGAACACCCCACCGCACTTTCTCTCCACGACTACTACGACGCGTCGCCGGTGACTCGGACGTTCCCTCGTCCCCCGCTGAGCCTGCCCTCAGCCTTCTTCAACTCCGCTATCCTCCAGTCGCACGGTTTGCGGTGCGATCATGCGCGCGGGTCGCACAATCTGTCGCCCGATCTTGCACGCTGGTATGAATCCCCTGCGCCGGTCGCACAATCGTCTTCCCCGCCCGTCGCCGGCCAGCCGGCGGGCCTGCCAACGACCCGCAGCGGAGCTGGAGATGCTACCGCTTGCGCCGCTCCCACTCCTGCCGGCCCTCAACAACGGTCTCTCGCTGACGGCAATGCCGTCAGGGCCGTGAGACCTCTTTCCGGACCAGGGACCTCCCGCCCTGCCGCAGCACGCCACCGGGACGCGGATCTCGCGCTGCCAGCAGCGAAGCGAGCGCGCGTGTCCGACACACGCTGCGTCGGAGTGGCGATGGCGGCACAGGAGGGAGCGGCGAGCCCGAGCCCATTACTGGACCTACCTTTGGACATCCTGCGAGTCATCATGGTCAAAGTCGTCTCTCGCGCTCACTCGCCGGCTCAACTCGGCAACGTCATGCTCAGGTCCGTCAGGCCTTCCGGCCTTGAACTTGCTCGACCTCTGCTCTTCCCCGCCTGCAGTGTGAACCCTGTGTCTTCCCTTTTTCTTTCCTCCTCTCCGCTGTTTTCTCTTTCCTGTTTTCTTTCTCTACTCTCTCTCCCTCAGGTTCTCCCTTTCCACCCATCTCTCCCCCTCTCCTCTCTCTATCTATTCGCTTCCTTTCTCTCCACCTCTCCTCTCTTTGTCCACCCATCTCTCACCTCTCTCCACCTCTTTTCTCTCTGTCCAACCATCCCTCCTCTCTCTCGACCCCTCCTCTCTATCTACCCGTCTCTCCTCTCTCTCCACCTCTCCTCTCTATCTACTCATCTCCTCCCTCTCCACCTCTCATATCTCTCTTTCCCCTTCTCTCCTATCTCTTCCTCTCCGCTTATGGCCTCCTCTCAATCCCCTCACTCCTCTCTCCGTGCCCCCTCTCTCTCCCACAGCTGTCGCGCCTTGAGAGCACTCTGCTGGTCCCAGCAAGCGCTGGCCGCGGTCACCCCCGCCGTGCTGCACATCCGCGCGTCCCAGTGGTCTCCGCGCGCCAACCGCTTCCTCTCCGCCTGCGCCGCCGCGGGGAACGCGCCCGCCGCGTATTTCCTCGGCATGATCACGTTCTACAGCTTCGGGAACTACGCCGAGGGGGTGAAGCTTCTCGCAAAGGCGGCGCTGGCGGGACACGCGGCGGCCATGTATGTGCTCTCCGTTGTTTACTTCAACGGGAGCGGCATGGCGCAAGCGCAGAGGAACCTTCCGGTGGCGCTAGCCCTCTGTGCGCGAGCAGCGTCCCTAGGCCACACTCCTGCCATGCGTGAACTGGGGTACTGCCTGCACGATGGTTACGGGTTACCACGCGATGCTGCTCAGGCGCAGCAGCTGCTGCTGGAGGCTGAGGCTCTCGAAACGGCGGAGAAAGCCCGCGCGAATGGCGTGGTGCAGGGTGGCGCGAAGCCAGCAGCGGTGCGCGGTGGTGACGGGGTGGACGGTTCTCGTTTGGAGCAGGCTGAGGAAGACAGGGAGGAGCAGGAGGAAGAGGATAGGGAGGCGCAGGAGGAGGAGGCAGATATGATGTTCGCACGTGAGATTCTTCAATCAGGAGATTTGCAGAGCGCACTTCCCAGGGACGAAGGGCGTGTTGACGTTCCTCCTGCTGAAGCATTCCAAGAAACTGCAGCAGCACCAGCAGCAGCAACAGAAGCAGGAGTGAGTGCAGACTCAGATGCTGAAGCAGCACCTGTCGATCCTGCTGCTCGTCTGTCTGCTCCTTCCATGGATGCCACCGGCACTAACAACATCGCAGATATGCAAAGCCTAGACAGTAAGGAGTGGGAACCTAGCTCTCCCTCGCTCGCTGAACTAATGGAGCTGCAAGAAGCCGAGAGTTGCCGCCCGGCAGACCCCGCCCACTTTTTCCTGCTGGAATGGCAGAAGCTCAATGGCCCTGCGTCTAACACCCACACCATCCACGTTAGTGCTTCCCAGGCGTACCTTGTACACACACCATCTCCTCCTTCCCATGGTGCTGCTCCCGTGCCTTCTCCTCCTTCTCCCGCAGTTCCTGCTGCACCAATTGCAACACCTCCCATGCTGCATGCATGCTCCAACCCCCAGTGCGGGCGGCAGGAGACGAGGGAGCATGAGTTCCGGTGTTGTGCTGCATGCACCGAGGCCAAATACTGCTCCAGAGCGTGCCAAGCTGCGGACTGGGTTGGGGGTCATCGTGTTGCGTGCACTATGTTAGGCGCTGCCCTCGCAGCTATGGCGCAAGGAGCTAGATTCTAGAGGAGAAAGCAGCTTATTGTTCTAAGTTTTGTGTGTCATTGCATTCTTTTAGTAGCATTCTCATCGTATGTATGTAGTATATTAACCAAATACAGTTCCTGACACTCTCAGCCCGATACCTTAGCCTTGGGGCTTATACAAAGAAGCGCCTTTATGGTACTGGTCATGTTACATGAAATACTCAGTGCCATCATGTTTCATGAAACACTCAGTGACGTCATGTTCCATGAAACACCCAGTGGGGCCTGCCGGTTTGATTGGCCTGTGGCTTACCATAACGCCCAGGGCTAACTATAAAAAAAAAACCAGTCTGATTGTTTGGGGGGTTAAAAAAAAAATAGTCTGAGGCATATTTAGTCTTCCACGTCGGCTAGCCATTTTCCACCAATTCAAGGGGGGGCTCGGTCAAAATGTCTATACCCTGTACAGAGAAAAATGCTTTCGCCAGAAATTCACACTTGTCTATCAGAGAAATTTGATCTTCCAAAAAAAAAACCCAGAAACGTCAGAGTGACCCCCCGAAAATCACTCTGATTTTCAGAGAAACAGAGTAATTTACTCTGATAAAAAAAACTCTGGTGGGGGGCTCTATTTATGGGAATACTATGTTGTCGTTGTGACAAAATCATGAAATGCAGCACCTACCAGGTCCGGTAGGTATGACTGATGCGCACATAGGCCAGTACCAAATCTGGGCAATCAGCCATTCTACCTAGGATGAAACATCACGCCTGGTGTCTCTCTTTTCTCCCTCACCCAAATGTGCACCGCCTGCCCATTTACCTACAAGGTCGCTAAAAGATGAAGCATCAGTGCCATCCCCGTTTCTTCCCAACGCTGCACCAGCTGTGCTTCCAGCAGCAGAGACAGCACCAGCAGCATCGCCTGAGGCAACAGCACGATCGAATTCCTTGCCTGTCATGACCCTTGCTGTGGAATCAACACTGCTACCAGTCGAAACAGGCATTTCTGCACTGCTGTGCAACTGCATGATGTCAAGGGGAGCACCAGGAGCATGTTGACTGGTAATGGATGGACTGGTATCATCTCCATTGCCACCCCCCACAGCATCCTCTTCATCTGAGAAGCTGATCAGAAGCCCACTCTCCTCATTCTCCTCTGCAGCAGCAGGGGCTTCAGGTCTTGCTGCAGAAGACCTGAAGGGCCATACAAGTGATAGAAGCGAGGCCTTGGGGGGTATAACCCCCTCCTCTTCCCGCTGCTCCCCTCCTCCGTGCTGCTGGGTCGAAGGGTGCAAGATAAGAGGCCCTTGCATGGTGCTGCTGCTGCTGGTGGTGGTGTTGTCAGGGTCGGTACCCAGCGGTTGCTGCATGAAGCGACTAGGGAGGGAGAAGAGCAGCATCAGCACTGCAAGCGCCGTGGATGCGATGCGGTGGAAGATAAGTGACAGGGTGGAGGCCAGCTGCATAGCAGACACGGTAAGGGGTGAAAAGTGGGGTAGGGGGCATCATAGGAAAGCGGGTAAGAAAAGAGAAGGGAATGGCTTGAGTTTACGGAAAAAAAGATGGAGTAATCATTCCTTGGAAGTGATGTGAACATGCGAATTATCACGCAGAACTGGAACATCGTTGGTATTGAAAGGCGGTATCCTGCATGCAGGGCTAGAAGGATATGATGAGGAGACACGAAGAGACAGGGTGAGAGGAGGGCAGAGGAAGAGTGCCGGGTGAAAAGAGGGACCGCATGGAGGGTAGGCATGGAGATGCATGGCTAGTCAGCGAGATGCAATGGTCTCACATGGGACGTGCCCGCAGCTGCTGCTGTGAGAATCGGCTTGCCGTGAGCACACAGCACACCGACCGCAAACGCACCCCCTGCCACCTCCGTGTCTCGCCACGTCGCATTCCATGCGGAGGACGACGGAGCTGACTCGGGGGGCGGGATTGGGTACGCAAGGGGGCGCAGGATGGGGAAGAACGGTGCAGTGGGTGCGGGCGGCTATGGCATGCGAGCAAGAACGGGTAACTGTAAATTGAAAACGTACAAGGAAGAATGGACGGAGACAAGGATGGGAAGCAGGCGCTGGTACCGTTCGCACTGGCATGCAGCCATGCTACTGTCATGGCCATGACATGCACCAGCACTGACAGCGCAGTGGCAACATGCTGAGAAGGATTGTTAAGGGCACTGAACTAAGAGAGTTTGCCCACAACGGTCCTTACCATCCTGCCCTCCTCCTCCTCCCGAGCTGTTCTTAGCACTGCACAAGCACCCAGGGATCCCTGCATCGCCCCGAAACGAGACTCCACTGCCAGTAGCAGCAACACTCCCAGCGGCCTCCGTTGTCACAGCAACGTAACCAACAGCATTTCCAGCAGCATGGGCAGCAGCAGCAGCAGCAGCAGCAGCAGCAGCAGCAGCAGTAGTAGTAGCAGGTGCAAAGGCAGCAATCCTCTGCCTGCCGGTGTCCACGACATAGAGCACCCCGCTACTGGCGTTATACCACATGCCCGACACGCCAGAGCCCAGTTTTGCCGGATCCGCGTGGCGAGGTTTGGAGTGGAAGTGCAACGGCTGCTTCTCGCCACCGCTGATGCCGGCACATGGAGATGCGGATGGGGATTGTGTTTCGTCACTGTGACGCGTGCGTGCCAGGAGTGCTCGAACGGGAGGATCCGGAACGAGGGTGGTGGTGGTGGGTGCGTGGGTGCTGTGCATGAATGGCGGCTGTGGAGGGGCGAGATGAGACACGCTGCTGCTTCTGCGGATGGTGGTGACATCGCCTGGGAAGTGACGGAGCGAGAAGAGGGCGGGGAGACGTAGGGTATATGGATGAGTAAAGAGCTTGTGGTATGGGGAAGAAGATGAGGGGTTCAGTGCAAAACAAGGAGCGAAAAACAGAGGGATTTTCATAAGCGTTAAAAAAAGTGAGAGGAGGCAAACAAAAGAGAGAATGACTGATATTGGAAGGCGGAACGTGGAGAGGTGATATAATATGGTGTGTTTCGCGGTCTACCGCATAGTATACAATCATCGTGCACTCCAATTCGGTGCTTTCATGTCACACCTCAATTGTCCCACCCTGTGGGGAGACGACGCCGCGATTGGAGGAGCCGCAAGAGACCTACCCTGTGGGGAGACGACGCGCAGGTAGCTGTTGCGATCCACCACAAAGAGATTCCCCTGGCAATCGGCTGCCAGGTGCATTGGCGAGTCAAATAGCGCCAACTCCCCCCGCCCGTCCATAAATCCGTTCGTGCCGTTGTTCCCTGCCAGCACGGACACAGCGGATGCTGGGGGGAGAGGAGGTGCGGGGAGGGTGGGGAAGGGACGACAGAGGCGGCTGAGATTATGCAGCTAGGAGAACAAAAGGGAGGTAGAGAGGTTGGAGGGAGAGAGGTTGGAGGGAGAGAGAGAGAGAGAGAGAGAGAGAGAGAGAGAGAGAGAGAGAGAGAGAGAGAGAGAGATAACGACTGCAGCAGTAATGGGAAGGAAAGGGAGAGGGTAAAGTGGGGGAGAGAGTGAACGGAACGAGGAGAGGCGTACTCGCAGATAGAGGCAGCTCGATCTTGAGAATGACGTGATTGGCCCTATCCGCGACAGCCACGTGGCGGCCATCCGGCAGGGGAGCCATGGAGGTGAGAACGAACGCCGTCGATGACGACCATGTCCATGCTGTCTGCACTGCGGTTTGGCGAAGGGGAAGAGAGGGTAGAGGAGCGGAGAGTGGGGGATGAGGGACGGGCTGACGGCATGCTTGGATTGGGTTGCTGAGCTCTAATTGTGATTGCAAGGCGAAAGGTGTTTCTGACGAGCGCGCATGGCAGCCAGGCACGCGGGATAGTCAGGCACGCGTGACAGTCGGCACGCGTGACAGCCGGCACACGTGACAGCCGGCACACGTGACAGTCGGCACACGTGACAGCCGGCACGCGTGACAGCCGGCACACGTGACAGCCGGCACACGTGACAGCCGGCACACGTGACAGCCGGCACACGTGACAGCCAGCTTGCGAGCTCACGGCGTGCTGTTGCAACGGCAACGACAGGCAGAGGCCTCACTCTTCTCGGCGACCGACGCACAGGGAAGCAGGCAAGCAGGCAGGCAGGCAGGCAGGCAGGCAGGCAGGCCGGCAGGCCGGCAGGCAGGCCGGCAGGCAGGCAGCGCGCATGCACCTTCACGACCTACGCACTATTTGATTATTTATTTATCCCAAGGCGACCGCCAGAATTGGCAGAAAATGAACTCGCGCGCCTTCGACGCGAGTCGCGACCTACTACGGCTGCAATCAGCCGCATGCACGCTCGTGAACGCGCGTGCTTCACGGGCTGCTAACCAGTGAAAGAGCTTTCCACTTCCATGGCTCCCTCGTCGCTTTCGAGAAGTAACAAAACCAGAAGCACGCTCTCCTCTCGCGCGTGCTTCAAGGGCTACTAACCAGTAAACGCACTCTCCTCTCGCACGTGCTTCACGCCTCCCTCGCTGCTCGTAGCGACCACTGGAGTAGGCCCTTCCATCGCACGCCATGACGCTGCTGCTTACACGCCCGCGATATCCGAGTACGCAGCACTCACAACCGCGAGCACGAGTAGAAGCAACACACCCATGTTTCACTTCGATTGCAAGAAAACCAAAAAAATATCCTGAACGATTGGCTCCTGGCCGACGCTTGAGAAAGGTCCGTCGAAGATAAGAGAAGAGAAAGAGAAGCCAATCAGCGGGACAGAGGTGATTGCGGGAGACTCGCGAATCATCCGCAAAGTGCGGGCGGATGTCAGATGGTTGGAAATAATTTCGTCTCGCTATTGGGATGTGCTGCATCCATTACGTACAGCACTCTACACCCAATGAATAAGACAAATGATGTCTATAAGGATACAATTACAAGCGCTGAAGGACCTGGTGCACCATGTGTGACTGAGTCAGGGTGATGGTGCGCCGTGCTCTGTCCCGGGTGATCTGCAGGCCAAAATAGCTCCGCAACTCACCGAGGTCAGTGCAAGCGTGTCTCTCCTGCAGCTCGGCCTTCACTAGGACCAGCGCCTCCGTGTCAGCAGTAGCAAAAACCAAGTCATCGACGTACACGAGAACGTAGAATGGCGGTAGGGTAGTGTCGGTGCGTAGAAACAGCGATGGTTCAGCAGTCGAAGGAGCAAACCCAAGAGCCGCAAGTGTAGTCCTCAGTGTGTCGTGCCACTCGCAAGGTGCCTGATGCAGGCCGTAAACTGGTCGCCGTAGGCTCCACTGGGTACCCTCAGGAAACGACCCAGTGAAGCAAGGTGGACGACGCAACCAAATGGCCTCGTGAAGGCTACCCTGCAAGAAAGCTGTGGAGAAGTCGAGGGAGTGCAGCTCGTAGTCACGCTGAGCTGCAACGTGTAGCAACACCCAGAGAGTGGTCATCTTTGGGGTAGGGGAGAAGGTATGAAAGAAGTCGACCCCCTCACGCTGACTGAAGCCTCGAGCAACGTAACGCGTCTTGAAGGCAGGCGGAGAACCCGGCGGCCGCTTCACCCTGAAAATCCACATGCCACTGGCGATGTTCGCCCCAGGTGGGGGAACCTCATCGACGTAGGTGCCTGTGAACTTCCAGGAAGCCATCTCTGCATCCATGGCTGTCTGCCACTGAGAGGAGTACTCACCCGAGATCGCCTCTCTGTAAGAGCGCGGGGTGGGGATGTCAAGTGATTCCGGGTCTCCCTCAGGGGCAAGCAGCATGGTCGCAAGATGGGAATACTATGTTGTCGTTGTGACAAAATCATGAAATGCAGCACCTACCAGGTCCGGTAGGTATGACTGATGCGCACATAGGCCAGTACCAAATCTGGGCAATCAGCCATTCTACCTAGGATGAAACATCACGCCTGGTGTCTCTCTTTTCTCCCTCACCCAAATGTGCACCGCCTGCCCATTTACCTACAAGGTCGCTAAAAGATGAAGCATCAGTGCCATCCCCGTTTCTTCCCAACGCTGCACCAGCTGTGCTTCCAGCAGCAGAGACAGCACCAGCAGCATCGCCTGAGGCAACAGCACGATCGAATTCCTTGCCTGTCATGACCCTTGCTGTGGAATCAACACTGCTACCAGTCGAAACAGGCATTTCTGCACTGCTGTGCAACTGCATGATGTCAAGGGGAGCACCAGGAGCATGTTGACTGGTAATGGATGGACTGGTATCATCTCCATTGCCACCCCCCACAGCATCCTCTTCATCTGAGAAGCTGATCAGAAGCCCACTCTCCTCATTCTCCTCTGCAGCAGCAGGGGCTTCAGGTCTTGCTGCAGAAGACCTGAAGGGCCATACAAGTGATAGAAGCGAGGCCTTGGGGGGTATAACCCCCTCCTCTTCCCGCTGCTCCCCTCCTCCGTGCTGCTGGGTCGAAGGGTGCAAGATAAGAGGCCCTTGCATGGTGCTGCTGCTGCTGGTGGTGGTGTTGTCAGGGTCGGTACCCAGCGGTTGCTGCATGAAGCGACTAGGGAGGGAGAAGAGCAGCATCAGCACTGCAAGCGCCGTGGATGCGATGCGGTGGAAGATAAGTGACAGGGTGGAGGCCAGCTGCATAGCAGACACGGTAAGGGGTGAAAAGTGGGGTAGGGGGCATCATAGGAAAGCGGGTAAGAAAAGAGAAGGGAATGGCTTGAGTTTACGGAAAAAAAGATGGAGTAATCATTCCTTGGAAGTGATGTGAACATGCGAATTATCACGCAGAACTGGAACATCGTTGGTATTGAAAGGCGGTATCCTGCATGCAGGGCTAGAAGGATATGATGAGGAGACACGAAGAGACAGGGTGAGAGGAGGGCAGAGGAAGAGCGCCGGGTGAAAAGAGGGACCGCATGGAGGGTAGGCATGGAGATGCATGGCTAGTCAGCGAGATGCAATGGTCTCACATGGGACGTGCCCGCAGCTGCTGCTGTGAGAATCGGCTTGCCGTGAGCACACAGCACACCGACCGCAAACGCACCCCCTGCCACCTCCGTGTCTCGCCACGTCGCATTCCATGCGGAGGACGACGGAGCTGACTCGGGGGGCGGGATTGGGTACGCAAGGGGGCGCAGGATGGGGAAGAACGGTGCAGTGGGTGCGGGCGGCTATGGCATGCGAGCAAGAACGGGTAACTGTAAATTGAAAACGTACAAGGAAGAATGGACGGAGACAAGGATGGGAAGCAGGCGCTGGTACCGTTCGCACTGGCATGCAGCCATGCTACTGTCATGGCCATGACATGCACCAGCACTGACAGCGCAGTGGCAACATGCTGAGAAGGATTGTTAAGGGCACTGAACTAAGAGAGTATGCCCACAACGGTCCTTACCATCCTGCCCTCCTCCTCCTCCCGAGCTGTTCTTAGCACTGCACAAGCACCCAGGGATCCCTGCATCGCCCCGAAACGAGACTCCACTGCCAGTAGCAGCAACACTCCCAGCGGCCTCCGTTGTCACAGCAACGTAACCAGCAGCATTTCCAGCAGCATGGGCAGCAGCAGCAGCAGCAGCAGCAGCAGCAGTAGTAGTAGCAGGTGCAAAGGCAGCAATCCTCTGCCTGCCGGTGTCCACGACATAGAGCACCCCGCTACTGGCGTTATACCACATGCCCGACACGCCAGAGCCCAGTTTTGCCGGATCCGCGTGGCGAGGTTTGGAGTGGAAGTGCAACGGCTGCTTCTCGCCACCGCTGATGCCGGCACATGGAGATGCGGATGGGGATTGTGTTTCGTCACTGTGACGCGTGCGTGCCAGGAGTGCTCGAACGGGAGGATCCGGAACGAGGGTGGTGGTGGTGGGTGCGTGGGTGCTGTGCATGAATGGCGGCTGTGGAGGGGCGAGATGAGACACGCTGCTGCTTCTGCGGATGGTGGTGACATCGCCTGGGAAGTGACGGAGCGAGAAGAGGGCGGGGAGACGTAGGGTATATGGATGAGTAAAGAGCTTGTGGTATGGGGAAGAAGATGAGGGGTTCAGTGCAAAACAAGGAGCGAAAAACAGAGGGATTTTCATAAGCGTTAAAAAAAGTGAGAGGAGGCAAACAAAAGAGAGAATGACTGATATTGGAAGGCGGAACGTGGAGAGGTGATATAATATGGTGTGTTTCGCGGTCTACCGCATAGTATACAATCATCGTGCACTCCAATTCGGTGCTTTCATGTCACACCTCAATTGTCCCACCCTGTGGGGAGACGACGCCGCGATTGGAGGAGCCGCAAGAGACCTACCCTGTGGGGAGACGACGCGCAGGTAGCTGTTGCGATCCACCACAAAGAGATTCCCCTGGCAATCGGCTGCCAGGTGCATTGGCGAGTCAAATAGCGCCAACTCCCCCCGCCCGTCCATAAATCCGTTCGTGCCGTTGTTCCCTGCCAGCACGGACACAGCGGATGCTGGGGGGAGAGGAGGTGCGGGGAGGGTGGGGAAGGGACGACAGAGGCGGCTGAGATTATGCAGCTAGGAGAACAAAAGGGAGGTAGAGAGGTTGGAGGGAGAGAGGTTGGAGGGAGAGAGAGAGAGAGAGAGAGAGAGAGAGAGAGAGAGAGAGAGAGAGATAACGACTGCAGCAGTAATGGGAAGGAAAGGGAGAGGGTAAAGTGGGGGAGAGAGTGAACGGAACGAGGAGAGGCGTACTCGCAGATAGAGGCAGCTCGATCTTGAGAATGACGTGATTGGCCCTATCCGCGACAGCCACGTGGCGGCCATCCGGCAGGGGAGCCATGGAGGTGAGAACGAACGCCGTCGATGACGACCATGTCCATGCTGTCTGCACTGCGGTTTGGCGAAGGGGAAGAGAGGGTAGAGGAGCGGAGAGTGGGGGATGAGGGACGGGCTGACGGCATGCTTGGATTGGGTTGCTGAGCTCTAATTGTGATTGCAAGGCGAAAGGTGTTTCTGACGAGCGCGCATGGCAGCCAGGCACGCGGGATAGTCAGGCACGCGTGACAGTCGGCACGCGTGACAGCCGGCACACGTGACAGCCGGCACACGTGACAGTCGGCACACGTGACAGCCGGCACGCGTGACAGCCGGCACACGTGACAGCCGGCACACGTGACAGCCGGCACACGTGACAGCCGGCACACGTGACAGCCAGCTTGCGAGCTCACGGCGTGCTGTTGCAACGGCAACGACAGGCAGAGGCCTCACTCTTCTCGGCGACCGACGCACAGGGAAGCAGGCAAGCAGGCAGGCAGGCAGGCAGGCAGGCAGGCCGGCAGGCCGGCAGGCAGGCCGGCAGGCAGGCAGCGCGCATGCACCTTCACGACCTACGCACTATTTGATTATTTATTTATCCCAAGGCGACCGCCAGAATTGGCAGAAAATGAACTCGCGCGCCTTCGACGCGAGTCGCGACCTACTACGGCTGCAATCAGCCGCATGCACGCTCGTGAACGCGCGTGCTTCACGGGCTGCTAACCAGTGAAAGAGCTTTCCACTTCCATGGCTCCCTCGTCGCTTTCGAGAAGTAACAAAACCAGAAGCACGCTCTCCTCTCGCGCGTGCTTCAAGGGCTACTAACCAGTAAACGCACTCTCCTCTCGCACGTGCTTCACGCCTCCCTCGCTGCTCGTAGCGACCACTGGAGTAGGCCCTTCCATCGCACGCCATGACGCTGCTGCTTACACGCCCGCGATATCCGAGTACGCAGCACTCACAACCGCGAGCACGAGTAGAAGCAACACACCCATGTTTCACTTCGATTGCAAGAAAACCAAAAAAATATCCTGAACGATTGGCTCCTGGCCGACGCTTGAGAAAGGTCCGTCGAAGATAAGAGAAGAGAAAGAGAAGCCAATCAGCGGGACAGAGGTGATTGCGGGAGACTCGCGAATCATCCGCAAAGTGCGGGCGGATGTCAGATGGTTGGAAATAATTTCGTCTCGCTATTGGGATGTGCTGCATCCATTACGTACAGCACTCTACACCCAATGAATAAGACAAATGATGTCTATAAGGATACAATTACAAGCGCTGAAGGACCTGGTGCACCATGTGTGACTGAGTCAGGGTGATGGTGCGCCGTGCTCTGTCCCGGGTGATCTGCAGGCCAAAATAGCTCCGCAACTCACCGAGGTCAGTGCAAGCGTGTCTCTCCTGCAGCTCGGCCTTCACTAGGACCAGCGCCTCCGTGTCAGCAGTAGCAAAAACCAAGTCATCGACGTACACGAGAACGTAGAATGGCGGTAGGGTAGTGTCGGTGCGTAGAAACAGCTATGGTTCAGCAGTCGAAGGAGCAAACCCAAGAGCCGCAAGTGTAGTCCTCAGTGTGTCGTGCCACTCGCAAGGTGCCTGATGCAGGCCGTAAACTGGTCGCCGTAGGCTCCACTGGGTACCCTCAGGAAACGACCCAGTGAAGCAAGGTGGACGACGCAACCAAATGGCCTCGTGAAGGCTACCCTGCAAGAAAGCTGTGGAGAAGTCGAGGGAGTGCAGCTCGTAGTCACGCTGAGCTGCAACGTGTAGCAACACCCAGAGAGTGGTCATCTTTGGGGTAGGGGAGAAGGTATGAAAGAAGTCGACCCCCTCACGCTGACTGAAGCCTCGAGCAACGTAACGCGTCTTGAAGGCAGGCGGAGAACCCGGCGGCCGCTTCACCCTGAAAATCCACATGCCACTGGCGATGTTCGCCCCAGGTGGGGGAACCTCATCGACGTAGGTGCCTGTGAACTTCCAGGAAGCCATCTCTGCATCCATGGCTGTCTGCCACTGAGAGGAGTACTCACCCGAGATCGCCTCTCTGTAAGAGCGCGGGGTGGGGATGTCAAGTGATTCCGGGTCTCCCTCAGGGGCAAGCAGCATGGTCGCAAGATGGGAATACTATGTTGTCGTTGTGACAAAATCATGAAATGCAGCACCTACCAGGTCCGGTAGGTATGACTGATGCGCACATAGGCCAGTACCAAATCTGGGCAATCAGCCATTCTACCTAGGATGAAACATCACGCCTGGTGTCTCTCTTTTCTCCCTCACCCAAATGTGCACCGCCTGCCCATTTACCTACAAGGTCGCTAAAAGATGAAGCATCAGTGCCATCCCCGTTTCTTCCCAACGCTGCACCAGCTGTGCTTCCAGCAGCAGAGACAGCACCAGCAGCATCGCCTGAGGCAACAGCACGATCGAATTCCTTGCCTGTCATGACCCTTGCTGTGGAATCAACACTGCTACCAGTCGAAACAGGCATTTCTGCACTGCTGTGCAACTGCATGATGTCAAGGGGAGCACCAGGAGCATGTTGACTGGTAATGGATGGACTGGTATCATCTCCATTGCCACCCCCCACAGCATCCTCTTCATCTGAGAAGCTGATCAGAAGCCCACTCTCCTCATTCTCCTCTGCAGCAGCAGGGGCTTCAGGTCTTGCTGCAGAAGACCTGAAGGGCCATACAAGTGATAGAAGCGAGGCCTTGGGGGGTATAACCCCCTCCTCTTCCCGCTGCTCCCCTCCTCCGTGCTGCTGGGTCGAAGGGTGCAAGATAAGAGGCCCTTGCATGGTGCTGCTGCTGCTGGTGGTGGTGTTGTCAGGGTCGGTACCCAGCGGTTGCTGCATGAAGCGACTAGGGAGGGAGAAGAGCAGCATCAGCACTGCAAGCGCCGTGGATGCGATGCGGTGGAAGATAAGTGACAGGGTGGAGGCCAGCTGCATAGCAGACACGGTAAGGGGTGAAAAGTGGGGTAGGGGGCATCATAGGAAAGCGGGTAAGAAAAGAGAAGGGAATGGCTTGAGTTTACGGAAAAAAAGATGGAGTAATCATTCCTTGGAAGTGATGTGAACATGCGAATTATCACGCAGAACTGGAACATCGTTGGTATTGAAAGGCGGTATCCTGCATGCAGGGCTAGAAGGATATGATGAGGAGACACGAAGAGACAGGGTGAGAGGAGGGCAGAGGAAGAGCGCCGGGTGAAAAGAGGGACCGCATGGAGGGTAGGCATGGAGATGCATGGCTAGTCAGCGAGATGCAATGGTCTCACATGGGACGTGCCCGCAGCTGCTGCTGTGAGAATCGGCTTGCCGTGAGCACACAGCACACCGACCGCAAACGCACCCCCTGCCACCTCCGTGTCTCGCCACGTCGCATTCCATGCGGAGGACGACGGAGCTGACTCGGGGGGCGGGATTGGGTACGCAAGGGGGCGCAGGATGGGGAAGAACGGTGCAGTGGGTGCGGGCGGCTATGGCATGCGAGCAAGAACGGGTAACTGTAAATTGAAAACGTACAAGGAAGAATGGACGGAGACAAGGATGGGAAGCAGGCGCTGGTACCGTTCGCACTGGCATGCAGCCATGCTACTGTCATGGCCATGACATGCACCAGCACTGACAGCGCAGTGGCAACATGCTGAGAAGGATTGTTAAGGGCACTGAACTAAGAGAGTATGCCCACAACGGTCCTTACCATCCTGCCCTCCTCCTCCTCCCGAGCTGTTCTTAGCACTGCACAAGCACCCAGGGATCCCTGCATCGCCCCGAAACGAGACTCCACTGCCAGTAGCAGCAACACTCCCAGCGGCCTCCGTTGTCACAGCAACGTAACCAGCAGCATTTCCAGCAGCATGGGCAGCAGCAGCAGCAGCAGCAGCAGCAGCAGTAGTAGTAGCAGGTGCAAAGGCAGCAATCCTCTGCCTGCCGGTGTCCACGACATAGAGCACCCCGCTACTGGCGTTATACCACATGCCCGACACGCCAGAGCCCAGTTTTGCCGGATCCGCGTGGCGAGGTTTGGAGTGGAAGTGCAACGGCTGCTTCTCGCCACCGCTGATGCCGGCACATGGAGATGCGGATGGGGATTGTGTTTCGTCACTGTGACGCGTGCGTGCCAGGAGTGCTCGAACGGGAGGATCCGGAACGAGGGTGGTGGTGGTGGGTGCGTGGGTGCTGTGCATGAATGGCGGCTGTGGAGGGGCGAGATGAGACACGCTGCTGCTTCTGCGGATGGTGGTGACATCGCCTGGGAAGTGACGGAGCGAGAAGAGGGCGGGGAGACGTAGGGTATATGGATGAGTAAAGAGCTTGTGGTATGGGGAAGAAGATGAGGGGTTCAGTGCAAAACAAGGAGCGAAAAACAGAGGGATTTTCATAAGCGTTAAAAAAAGTGAGAGGAGGCAAACAAAAGAGAGAATGACTGATATTGGAAGGCGGAACGTGGAGAGGTGATATAATATGGTGTGTTTCGCGGTCTACCGCATAGTATACAATCATCGTGCACTCCAATTCGGTGCTTTCATGTCACACCTCAATTGTCCCACCCTGTGGGGAGACGACGCCGCGATTGGAGGAGCCGCAAGAGACCTACCCTGTGGGGAGACGACGCGCAGGTAGCTGTTGCGATCCACCACAAAGAGATTCCCCTGGCAATCGGCTGCCAGGTGCATTGGCGAGTCAAATAGCGCCAACTCCCCCCGCCCGTCCATAAATCCGTTCGTGCCGTTGTTCCCTGCCAGCACGGACACAGCGGATGCTGGGGGGAGAGGAGGTGCGGGGAGGGTGGGGAAGGGACGACAGAGGTGGCTGAGATTATGCAGCTAGGAGAACAAAAGGGAGGTAGAGAGGTTGGAGGGAGAGAGGTTGGAGGGAGAGAGAGAGAGAGAGAGAGAGAGAGAGAGAGAGATAACGACTGCAGCAGTAATGGGAAGGAAAGGGAGAGGGTAAAGTGGGGGAGAGAGTGAACGGAACGAGGAGAGGCGTACTCACAGATAGAGGCAGCTCGATCTTGAGAATGACGTGATTGGCCCTATCCGCGACAGCCACGTGGCGGCCATCCGGCAGGGGAGCCATGGAGGTGAGAACGAACGCCGTCGATGACGACCATGTCCATGCTGTCTGCACTGCGGTTTGGCGAAGGGGAAGAGAGGGTAGAGGAGCGGAGAGTGGGGGATGAGGGACGGGCTGACGGCATGCTTGGATTGGGTTGCTGAGCTCTAATTGTGATTGCAAGGCGAAAGGTGTTTCTGACGAGCGCGCATGGCAGCCAGGCACGCGGGATAGTCAGGCACGCGTGACAGTCGGCACGCGTGACAGCCGGCACACGTGACAGCCGGCACACGTGACAGTCGGCACACGTGACAGCCGGCACGCGTGACAGCCGGCACACGTGACAGCCGGCACACGTGACAGCCGGCACACGTGACAGCCGGCACACGTGACAGCCAGCTTGCGAGCTCACGGCGTGCTGTTGCAACGGCAACGACAGGCAGAGGCCTCACTCTTCTCGGCGACCGACGCACAGGGAAGCAGGCAAGCAGGCAGGCAGGCAGGCAGGCAGGCAGGCCGGCAGGCCGGCAGGCAGGCCGGCAGGCAGGCAGCGCGCATGCACCTTCACGACCTACGCACTATTTGATTATTTATTTATCCCAAGGCGACCGCCAGAATTGGCAGAAAATGAACTCGCGCGCCTTCGACGCGAGTCGCGACCTACTACGGCTGCAATCAGCCGCATGCACGCTCGTGAACGCGCGTGCTTCACGGGCTGCTAACCAGTGAAAGAGCTTTCCACTTCCATGGCTCCCTCGTCGCTTTCGAGAAGTAACAAAACCAGAAGCACGCTCTCCTCTCGCGCGTGCTTCTAAGGGCTACTAACCAGTAAACGCACTCTCCTCTCGCACGTGCTTCACGCCTCCCTCGCTGCTCGTAGCGACCACTGGAGTAGGCCCTTCCATCGCACGCCATGACGCTGCTGCTTACACGCCCGCGATATCCGAGTACGCAGCACTCACAACCGCGAGCACGAGTAGAAGCAACACACCCATGTTTCACTTCGATTGCAAGAAAACCAAAAAAATATCCTGAACGATTGGCTCCTGGCCGACGCTTGAGAAAGGTCCGTTGAAGATAAGAGAAGAGAAAGAGAAGCCAATCAGCGGGACAGAGGTGATTGCGGGAGACTCGCGAATCATCCGCAAAGTGCGGGCGGATGTCAGATGGTTGGAAATAATTTCGTCTCGCTATTGGGATGTGCTGCATCCATTACGTACAGCACTCTACACTCAATGAATAAGACAAATGATGTCTATAAGGATACAATTACAAGCGCTGAAGGACCTGGTGCACCATGTGTGACTGAGTCAGGGTGATGGTGCGCCGTGCTCTGTCCCGGGTGATCTGCAGGCCAAAATAGCTCCGCAACTCACCGAGGTCAGTGCAAGCGTGTCTCTCCTGCAGCTCGGCCTTCACTAGGACCAGCGCCTCCGTGTCAGCAGTAGCAAAAACCAAGTCGTCGACGTACACGAGAACGTAGAATGGCGGTAGGGTAGTGTCGGTGCGTAGAAACAGCGATGGTTCAGCAGTCGAAGGAGCAAACCCAAGAGCCGCAAGTGTAGTCCTCAGTGTGTCGTGCCACTCGCAAGGTGCCTGATGCAGGCCGTAAACTGGTCGCCGTAGGCTCCACTGGGTACCCTCAGGAAACGAACCAGTGAAGCAAGGTGGACGACGCAACCAAATGGCCTCGTGAAGGCTACCCTGCAAGAAAGCTGTGGAGAAGTCGAGGGAGTGCAGCTCGTAGTCACGCTGAGCTGCAACGTGTAGCAACACCCAGAGAGTGGTCATCTTTGGGGTAGGGGAGAAGGTATGAAAGAAGTCGACCCCCTCACGCTGACTGAAGCCTCGAGCAACGTAACGCGTCTTGAAGGCAGGCGGAGAACCCGACGGCCGCTTCACCCTGAAAATCCACATGCCACTGACGATGTTCGCCCCAGGTGGGGGAACCTCATCGACGTAGGTGCCTGTGAACTTCCAGGAAGCCATCTCTGCATCCATGGCTGTCTGCCACTGAGAGGAGTACTCACCCGAGATCGCCTCTCTGTAAGAGCGCGGGGTGGGGATGTCAAGTGCATCCGGGTCTCCCTCAGGGGCAAGCAGCATGGTCGCAAGATGAGATGTTGCGGTCGCAAGACACTCCAGCTCCTCCTGCCTGTCTTCAAGAACGTCACAGTCAAGGGCAAACTCACCCCCGACGGACGGAGGACAGGCAGGGTCAGGGTCAGAAACGAGACTCGCAAGGTAGTCTAGGCGGTACGCAGCAGCCAAGTCAACTAGCTGAGCGACTAAGGTAGACGCAGTAGGAGACGAGAGCATAGAGTCAGTCACAAGCGTAGCAAGAAAGCGAGTAACAGTCAAACTGGACGTACGAGCAAGGCAGACGGAGGGTCAGCAACAGCAGGAAGAGAAGACTCAGGGTGTGAGGGCAGGACAACACGCTGTGGAACGGAGGAAGGACGGAGTGTCATATCGTGAGTGCCTGGGACAGTCGTTGCACGAGAACGACGAACACGAGGATTACGAGCACGGACAGAAGCTCTAGTCTTAGGCTCTCGACGCTCAGGAGTGGAAGCACGAGTCTCAGGCTATCGACGCTCAGGAGTGGAAGCACGAGTCTCAGGCTCGCGACGCTCAGTCAGGGACTCTGTCACAGCAGTGTAAGGACCAGGAGCAGGCAGTGGGGAGTGAGGCAGGAGCTGTGGGAACAGTAACGAAGGAGTAGTACCAGGGACTGGGAACTCAGTAGGAACTGGCGGAAGATAGAGAAGGTGGCGAAGCACACCAGCAGGTCCAGTACCTCCAGTACCAGCAGGAACTCCAGCACTAGCAGCTCCAATACCTCCAGCAGTGGTAGCTCCAGCACCTCCAGCACCAGCAGCACCTCCAGCACCTCCAGCACCTCTAGCACCAGCAGCTCCAGCACCTCCAGCACCAGCAGCTCCAGCACCTCGAGCACCAGCAGCTCCAGTACCTCCAGCACCAGTAGTACCTCCAGCACCTCCAGCACCTCTAGGACCAGCAGGACTAGTAGCTCCAGTACCTCCATCAGTACCTCCAGCACTAGCAGGACCTCCAGGACCAGCAGCTCCAGCACCTCTAGTACCAGCGGCTCCAGCACCTCCAGCACCAGCGGCTCCAGTACCTCTAGCACCAGTAGCACCTCCAGCACCTCTAGGACCAGCAGCTCCAGCAGCTCCAGTACCTCCAGCACCAGTAGCACCTCCAGTACCTCCAAGAATAGCAACTCCAGTACCTCCAGCACCAGCAGCACCTCTAGTACCTCCAGCAGTACCTCCAGCACCTCCAGGACTAGCAGCTCCAGCACCAGCAGGACTGGACACTCCACCGCCACTAGGACTTGCAGCACCCCTAGAGCCAGCACCACAAGTCACAGCACCCCCAGAACCAGCATCCCCAGTCGCAACACCCCCAGAACCCTCACCCTCTGTCTCAGCACCCCCAGGCTCAGCACTAGCAGTCTCAGCTCCAGAGTCCAGAGCAGCAGGCTGCGGAGGCGGTGAAGACAGCCGAGGGGGAAAACCCGGGGGGGTCTCCAAGCGTGGAGAGCGGCCAGTGGCCGCCATGTTGTCAGCGGCGGGGTCACCCCCCTGAGCTGGGCCAGAGGAGTCAGAAGAGATCTCCAAAGGCTCAACCAAGGGGGTTGGGTCTACCTGAGACACACCTGAGGGAGCAGAACCCTGTGGGGGGAGGGGGTCGATCGGGGGGGGGGGGGGGGGGGGGGGGGACAGGGTGGGACGTGTGCGGGTGAAGCCTGTAGTAACAGACAGACTCGTCAAAGGTGACGTCCTGGGAGGAGAAGACTTGACGCGAGCTCGGGTGGTAGAGCTGCCACGGCGGGGCGTCTGTGGGGAAGCCAAGGAAGACGCAGCAAAGAGTGCGAGGGGAGAGCTTGCTTGCAGTGGTATCGCGAACAAGGGAGAGCGTGTTAGAATGTGAACGAATGAATGACTGAACTAACAAGCAGGTGGGTACAAGTAGCAAACCTAAAAGTGTTGTACCTTATAAGAACTACCCCACTACAGCCTAAACAGACTATAGCATATAAGTTTGACACACCCCCATAGGCAAAGTGGGGGAGAACAAGAGGTCACAAGACCAGTCAAGAAAGACAAAGCAAGCTCACGGTGGATCACAAAGTCACCACGCAGTCTGAGCACAAGCAAATGGCCACAAGGCCAGTTCACATGCAGAGTTATATAAAAGAAAACAAACAATACAGTGAACACAACCTAGCAAGTTTAAGCATGCAGGTATATGTATAAAGAGTACAGTACAAGCAGACTCAAGAAGTAAGCAAGTGAGGCACAGTAGGTACAAGGCCTAGAACAGTACAGAAACGCTGATGATCACAAGGCTGAAGTGCCTTGGTGAAAACATCAGCAGTGTTGGCCTGAGAGGCCACGTAAGCGAGACGAAGCTGGCCACGCTGCTGCAACTCTCGAGCAAGGAAGTAGCGCAGAGCAATGTGCTTCGTTCTGTGCTCCAGTCTGTGCTGCTGACACAAGGCAAGCATGGCCTTGTTGTCGACGTACAGAACTGGAGGAGAACGAGGCGCCTCTCCCAAGTCGGTCAGCAGGTAGGTGAGCCAGCGTAACTCCTGTGCAGCCATGGCCCCAGCATAGATCTCAGCCCCACAACTGGAGCTGAGAACGGAAGAAGAGCGGGTAGACCGCCAAGAGACAGACCCGGAACAAAGACTGAAGGTGTAACCCTGTGACGACCGCTGCGTAGCCAAGTCGTCAACCCAGGAAGCGTCAGCGTGACCAGTGAGGACAACTCGAGACCGTCCTCCAAGCACGAGCCCCATGCCCGACGTACTGCACAGGTAGCGCAACACCCTCTTCGCAGCATCCCAGTGCACCTTTCGGTGTCGACTGGGAGCCACGTAGCGAGCTAGAAGGCTGAGAGGGTATGCAAGGTCAGGTCGTGTGCAAGTCATCAGGTACATGAGGCAGCCCACAAGCTCTGGATACGGGCCACTCGGCTCTACGGACTCGTCCGAAGGTGGAGCTGAGAGCGAGTGACCGGTAGGCAGAGGAGTGGACTGTGGCGAGGAGTACGTGAAGCCGAAGCGCTGAAGGACCTGCTGCACCATGTGTGACTGAGTCAAGGTAATGGTGC